TGGTTTAGAAGGTGAATTGCTCCAGTATCAGTGTAACGAGGCAGAAGCAGTCGCCATGTTTTCTTTTTTGTGAATCGTTCTAATTTGCATACCACAATTTCCATTCATAAAAAAAAATTAAAACACCACCGTTGACATTCAACAAGACCTGCCGTGTGAATTGTATAGGCCTTTCCTGCACGTCAACAGTCTGAGTATTGTAGGAAGTTTGAACATTAGGATTTCCAGGACTACTTGATTTAAAAAAATTGGTTGTTGACAGAGTTATGTGGGAAATATCAGCTCGGGGAGGTGCTGCGAGCACGTGATCTGCTCCATTCATAAAATTACCTGGCTGTCCATTCACACTGCAGTACACTGTCTGTTCTGAACAGAGTTGCAGATTAGATCTGGATAGAGAGAGACGAGGTTTGTCAGAATTCAAGGGAAGGAGAGACTGCTTATTTCTGAGGATCATGGATAAACTTACCTTTTCTTGTTGTGTTTTCTTTGGGTTTTTTTTAAATAAAAATTGCATTCAAAGAGAAGATAATCCAGAAATCACTTCATTACATTTCAAAATGTACTGTGGGAAGGCATGTTTAGAGTAATTTCATCTTTAGAAACAGCGAATCAGAAATGAAATACTGAAAAACCAAATTCACCAGTGCATTTTTCTTGCATTGCTTTCAAGACAAACTAATTTGCCAGTTCCCATAGCAATAATTCAAATTACTTTGTACTATATTCTTTCTGCAACATGGAATAACAGATACTAGTGTTTTTAATAAGTCAAACCTTAATATGATGTTGAAAACCACATTTCAGAAAATGGTGTAACTTCTGTTAAGTAATGTCTCGTCGTAAAAATAAAAAATCAGTGAGAAGGAAAGATTTTTCTTTTTATGAATTTTACAGGACTTATGTACAGTCACTTTCATATTTAGACTTTTTTCCTCTTGCTGAAAAGTCTTTTTAAATATCAGAGGAGCAGTACTCTTTTAAAAAAAATTAGAACCAATGTGAAGGATGCTGTTTTAAATTTTTAAATTAGTCCATTGAAACATTTTTTGAGTATCTCAATTTAAAAAAATCAAATATTCAAGGAAACTTAGTTGTTGGATTCAAGTTAACCAGCAGAAAACAATTTGCATTTGGTTACCTGAATCTTTTGTTAAAAAATACTAGGTAGGTTGCTGTGTTAAAATCTTTGTGATGATGATGATACATATATTATTGGGCTAGTTTAATTCCTAGTTGGCAGAGAGACATTTTGAAGGGATTGGGGGAATTTTCTTAAAAAGCCAGGAGAATGGTGTTTGAGTGATTTCAATACTTATGATATCTACAGTTTGAGACCATTTTTGGTTTTCTGAGGTGTTTGAATGTAAACAGATGACTAATCTAAAAACTTGTAAGGCACTGTCAATTCAAAAAATTTTCTATGTGAACAGGCTTTTTATCTACTATGGTTGCAGATAGTACTCAGACATTATTGTAACAGAAACATTTGAAAAAACTTCCAATTTGCTTTATGGTTTGACATTGCTTGGTTTCACTACTTCCCTGTTTGTGTATGTCTTTCACAGAGCAACGGAGGAGTGAACAAAATTATTGCCTTAATGTATTAATCTACAAATTTCTCATCACCTAAAAGCAAATACGGGTACTTGGAAAGACATTTTGTTACAGTGTAACTGAGAATTATGCTGAAAGCTGGGTCATTTATTTTTTTGGCATGCAAAACTCTGTATTAAAAAAAATTTTACAGAACGAGTAAAGGATTGGGTTATATACTTGTTTAACATTTGATCTCATCTAAGGATATTTTGTATCACTGTAAATGATATCAGTGAAATAAAAGGCTGTGAAAATTAAAAGCGGTATCAGATGTCACTCCTTGCTTTTTTAAACGAATATGTAGAAGGTTAGCATTACAAAATTATGCTTACGAGGGACAGGAATTTTGTAGTTGGGCAAATAGTTTCCTTAGGTATGTCTTTTTGTTGTTGTTGTTTTAATTTTCATCTTGTTGTAAAGCATGAACAAATACTTTGTGCGTGTGTGTATGTGCTGTGCTAGGCTGACACATTTTCATGACAATTTGACATGGGTGATGGACAATAAAAAGAACATGATTGTTTTTTGTCATTTGGTATAGTGGAAGAGTGAAGATTTTTCTTGATGCTCATGGGCATAAGCTAATTATGCATATCTCATACTAGCATTATGTGAACAGGTACCTTACAAAGTTTGATTCTTGCCTGTGTGTACATCTCTTCTTGACTAGAAGCACCCCCAATAATTCCACAATCAGGCCTTCATTGAACAGAACAAATTCACTACTAAGAGAAAGAGAAGGTGGGTGAGGTAATATATTTTATTGGGCCAATTCAACCCTCCTTATTGTGTTTATAATATCTGGAAGTCAACACTGCCTATGACAACTAAAATAGAGTTGTATTTTTAATGTGGATAAATAACCACTAAGCTTGGATGGAATTATTATACTAATTTTGTAATACAATTACATTTTGGGACCCATTCGTCCAAAAGTAAGCAACACCCTACTGGCAGATTTTTCACATTATTTCCTATTGTTGCATATGTTAGTTCCAGGTTGCCCTTAGTAAGAGAAGTGGTCCATGGTTCTGCAAGTCCTCTTTACTGTTTCTCCTGAACTCAGTTTTGGAGACCATTTGTGCATACGGTAGGCTTGCACATTTAGGCTCTGATTTGTAAGTTCTGGATGAAAGATGATCTTAAATTCATATAGCATTCTCATTTATTTTAACTATAGAGTCATGTATTTTTGCCTGTTAAATATTTCAGTTGAATTTTTTATAACAGAGATACGTTGCTGCCTGTAATTTGACAAGGAACAGCGATATCAATCATGTCATGGCAGAGCTGGCCGATCTATTAAGTGTGGAGGGGAAAATGTTGAGTCAAGTGTATCTCCCAAAACTAGAGTGGATATTTAAAAATACAATGAGGTCCTGCAAAATATTTTCCTAGAACTTCAAAATAAAACTGCAGTACTGTATCATCAATACATTTTAAGTATCTCCTTTTATTTCCAGCCAAAATATAGAATGATTGAACTAATATAAGACTTTGACCCTGGAATCGAAACTAACTAGTTCTTTTTCAGTGTTAGTTGTTAGATTTTTTTTAAATGCATTTTTGCAGCTTGAACAAACACCCTATATAGAAAAAATGAATTTAGATTTTTGAAATCTGTCACTTTTATACAAAAAACCTTAAATTAAGAGAAGTAAGTGTGTGTGTGTGTGTGTGTGTGTGTGTGTGTGTGTATAATCTCACACACATACAGTATATGTATATATGAGAGAAACTGTAAAAAATGTAAATTGATAGTGTCCCTTCTGAGTTTGCTAATTAGATTGTCACTGCCATTTTATAATTTATTTATTTCTGGGGCATTGTTTGAAGTTGTGGAGATTCCATTCCAATTTTAATGGCTGTGTCATGGGCTTTACTTTGGTGTTATGTCCTACCTATTACTCTGAGGGGAAAATGAATTTCAGGTTACATAATTTGAAAAGTTAAGAGAAAAATATTGATAGGTCTGCTTTAATAGCGTTTCTTGGTTATGATATCCTAGAAACATTTATTCTAGGATGCACCATAGAACTAGAGCCAATGGCATTATTTGGAGAAACTAAAGAAAGTAGTTGTTGTGTGTTTTTTAAGGCGATAGTGTTACATTAGCACTTGACCTGAATAGTAGAGACATTCAGTATGTGTTTTGGAAGTTAATGACACTTCTTAATTTTGGCCCTGATCGTGTACACAGGAACTGTTAATGAGTAAAGGTATATGGTACATGCTTTGTGTCTGAAGGACATTTTTGTAGGTCATCTTTAATTTATCATTTAGACATTTTGTGCATATCTATACAGATGTATATGCTAGGGATGTAAAATATCATTAAATTGGTTAAATGCTTAAATGTTAACTTTAATGAGTTAACTGATTTATCAGGGAGGCAGGTTGGCCCCCACACCACAGCTGCGGGCTGTTCCCACTAGGCTGGAGTGCCTCTCCTTGCGGCGTCCCATGTCTGCCATGAACAAGGGCTGCTCTAGTTGGGCTGAAGCACCCCTTCTCGTGGTGGGCCCCATGTGGCTAAAGCAGCCCTCTGCCCACAGCAGGCAGAGGGCTGCTTCAGCTCTACCGTTAAATAGTTAACATCCTTAGTATATGCAGGTAAATTCTTCATTATAAGTATTTATGTATATGCTGTTTGTCTAATTGATATGTAATTACTGTCTATATCTGTTCATCTCAGTTTTGCTATAGATATTTATAGAGTTAAGTGTGTGGCGATGCATCAATTTACTTAAAATGAACCCTAAATTTACAATTTAATTTTAACAAACCTTAAATCTTTAATCTGAAAGAATATCAAGTATAATTAGAAATCCTAATTTCACTACAGATCATCATATGATTTTGTTACAATGTTGCTGGTTATGAAGCCAGCATAGACTTCTCTGTTTATATAGAGAAGGCAACCATAATTTATTGTGATAATCTACAATTGGACATGTTAGAGAAAATTCTCTAGAGAGAGCCAATAACAGCATAAATGGATTAACAGAATTCAAAAAAGGAAGTGTGAAAAGTGAATGCTAGAAATCGGGGAAAATGTCACAATATTGAAGTGGAAGGCAAAAAGGGCAGAGAATTAAAAGTGGTTTAAAAATTAATAGTTTTAAATTAATGGGCTATTTTTTTAAAAAAAGTATTTATTTAAAAATTTAACAATGAACACCTATATTAAGGCCTAATTTTATTAAACTGTAATCTGTTTTAAATTAAGTACCAAAAATGATACTACCAAGTAACTGTGTTCTGTTAATTTTCAAAACAAGTCAAATCATTGAACTGTGCAAAGTTCTTCATGCTTTGGCCACCGTGAAGCCATACGTCTGCGCTGATGACAAATTCTGCCTGATAATAGTCCAAAGCGGTGCAGACTGACGCATGTTCACTTTCATCATCCAAATCAGATGCCACCAACAAAAGGTTGATTTCTTTTTTGTTAGTTTGGGTTCTGTTGTTTCTGCATGTGAATCTTATTCTTTTAAAACTACTGAAAGCATTTTCCACACCTTGTCCTCTCAGATGTTGGAAGACACTTCAAATATTCATACATCTTGCGGTGAGTGCTATAGATATTTTTAATAATCTCACATTGGTGCCTTCTTTGCATTTTGTCAGACCTACAATGAAAGTGTCTTAAATCAAACAACATTTCTGTAATGTGAAATATATGGCAGAATGTGGGTGAAACAACAGAGTAGGAAACAGACAATTCTACCTTATGGAGTTCAGTCAAAATGTAACACATTTTTTCACGGGCATCATGAGTATGGAAACGTTCCCTGGAATAGTGGCTGAAGCATTAAGGGGCATATGAATGTTAGCATATCTAGTATGTAAATACCTTGCAATGTCAGCTACAAAAGTGCTGTTCTTGCTTTCAGGTGAGATTTGTAAATAAGAACCAGGCAACATTATCTCCCATAAATGTAAACAAACCTGCTTTAGTGATTGGCAGAAAAAGTAGTAGGATTGAGTTGACTTGTAAGTGTATATAAAGTAAGACTTTATATTATTTTGTTTTCAAGTGTAGTTATATAACAAAAAAATCACTTTTGTAAGTAGCATTTTCACAAGAAAGAGACTGCACTACAATACTTGTATGAGATGAACTGAAAAATACTATTTTTACAGTGCACATTTGTAATATAGACTAATCAATGTGCACTTTGTGTTCTGTGTTGTAATTAAAATCAATATATTTGAAAACATAGAAAAACATCCAAAATATTTTAAAACAAATTGGTATTATATTATTTAAAATTATGATTAATTACAATTATTTTTAATCAAGTTCATTTGTTTTGAGTTAATTGTTTAACTGCCATTTATTAACAGCCCTAACAAAAACTATTTATAATAGGATGCAGGCTACTAGTTCTAAAACCTTTAAGGGTATGGTGACCAGAAAAGGTTCAATACACTAATAACAAGCAATCCCTCCCTTTGTTTAATCAGCATTATATGCAAAATATTTTGATAAACATTTTTCTTGTGTTTCCAGCATACCAAACATAGTTTTGTTTAATATAAATATGCTGGTTTTGTGCATTTGTAATTGAAACTGAATTCCCATTAAAGTACAGCTTAACATAAAGCAGAAGTAAAATATGAATTATAAAAATTAAAAAATGCATCTTTCACCATTTTCTGCCATAAAATATAAAAAATTGAAAAGCTGGATACATTAAAATATTTAATCACTTACATTTCATTTACAGATTTTTGTCCCTGGCTAGCGCCAAAAAAAGGCACTACATTTAGCATAAAGGATATGTTTAATTACACATTTTAATGATTATCAGCCAATAAGAATCAACTATTCTTAGGAGAAATAACTAAAAGCACACTTTCAAAACAAGATTAAAATTACTTAAAGGTTTCCTGTGTCCTCATTTAATGAAGATGGTGGTAATTTTATTGCTCTAAATGAATTATCCTCCAGAGAGGTGAAAGGGGACAGTATTTTATATAAATTAAATGCATTCAGAAGGAAATTACTGTATGTAATAGTTTTAATGTAAGTGGCATAAACAACATCACATAAATAGTATGAAATTTTGGGCTGGCCCAAACATGCAAATACTCTGCAGGTTTCCTCTTGGTTAAATATGTCTCAGGGAATTTGCACAGACCACATGAATTGCCTTATTGTATCAGACCTAAGATCATAGAATCATAGGACTGGAAGGGACCTCGAGAGGTCATCGAGTCCAGCCCCCCGCCCTCAAGGCAGGACCAAGCTCTGTCTACTCCATCCCTGACAGATGTCTATCTAACCTGTTCTTAAATATCTCCAGAGAGGGAGATTCCTCCACCACCTCCCTTGGCCATTTTTTCCAATATTTGACCACCCTGACAGTTAGGAATTTTTTCCTAATGTCCAATCTAAACCTCCTTTGCTGCACTTTAAGCCCATTACTCCTTGTCCTGTCCTCAGAAACCAAGAGGAACAAATTTTCTCCTTCCTCCTTGTGACACCTTTTTAGATATTTGAAAATCGCTATCATGTCCCCCCTTAATCTTCTTTTTTCCAAACTAAACAAGCCCAGTTCATGAAGCCTGGCTTCATAGGTCATGTTCTCCAGACTTTTAATCATTCTTGTCGCTCTTTTCTGTACCTTTTCCAATTTCTCCACATCTTTCTTGAAATGTGGCGCCCAGAACTGGACACAGTACTCCAGCTGAGGCCTAACTAGTGCAGAGTAGAGCGGCAGAATGACTTCACGAGTTTTGCTTACAACGCACCTGTTGATACAACCTAGAATCATATTTGCTTTTTTTGCAACAGCATCACACTGTTGACTCATATTCAACTTGTGGTCCACTATGACCCCTAGATCCCTTTCCGCCATGCTCCTTCCTAGACAGTCGCTTCCCATCTTGTATGTATGGAACTGATTGTTCCTTCCTAAGTGGAGTACTTTGCATTTCTCTTTATTAAACTTCATCCTGTTTACCTCTGACCATTTCTCTAACTTGCTAAGGTCATTTTGAATTATGTCCCTATCCTCCAAAGAAGTTGAAACCCCACCCAGTTTGGTATCATCTGCAAACTTAATAAGCGTACTCTCTATCCCAATATCTACATCATTGATGAAGATATTGAACAGTACGGGTCCCAAAACAGACCCTTGCGGAACTCCACTTGTTATCCCTCTCCAGCAGGATTTAGCACCGTTAACAACAACTTTCTGACTATGGTTATCCAGCCAATTATGCACCCACCTTATCGTGGCCCTATCTAAGTTATATTTGCCTAGATCCATCTAGTCTAGTACTCTCTCTTTGATAGTAGCCAGTACCTGGTTGTTTAAAGGTAAGTGTAAGAATCCACAGTAGGCAACTGTGGAGTATTCTGCCCCTGTAGTAGATCTCATCATAATTTTACCAGTTGATTTAAACTTTGAAGCACAATACCCCTTCCACACAATTTTTATCTTCAATTATGATAAATTCTGTATATTATTGATATTCACATCTTTTCTTGGTATCAACTTTTTGGGTCTGTGAGTTCCACTGTATTTCGTTAAATTGCATTTGAATTTTCCAGCTATTGATTTCATTGGGTGACTTGTGTTAAGAGACAGGGAGAATGGAAATTCTTGATCCACTTTTTATGCCATTTTTTATTTTACATACATTGTCTTGTCCTCTCTTAATCATTTCCTTTTCTAATATGAATCCTACAATTGACAAGTACTACTTCTGCTTTGTGATAAATAGAATATAATCTTGGTTTCTGTTAATTCCACTCCAGTTCATTTGATTAAATGGGTTTTGCCCACAGAAGCTCATGATTCTATGTATTTTGGTTAGTCTCTAAAGTTCCACAGGACCACTCATTGTTTTTAAAGTTATAGATTAACAGGGTTACCCCTCTGAGATCCTTTTCTGGGGTAAAGAGTACCAACTTTTCATCCTTACTTCATATGAAGAGTTTCCATATCCTTGACTCATATCGCTCTTTACCAAAATCCACTCTAGTTCTTCGGTATCCTTTGTGAAATAGAATGATGAGTAATATACACAGTGTTGTAGATGATTCTCAACCATTGAGTTAGAGAAAGCATGTTAATTATCATTCACCATTCCCATGAATATGGTGAAGCTATTTGTTTGCCAGTGCTGTCATCCCTCCCGCACCTTCAAAGTCAGAATCGAATCCAAGATCCCCAATTCCCTTTATTCCTCTGTCAAACAAGTACTTGTAAGCCAAAAGCAAAAATCCCCTTCTGGCCTCCAGAGGATAACTACTTTCTGCTTACCAGGTAATCTTATAGGCCAAATGCTAGAGGCCTGTGCTGTGGCATTTAAAGGGCTTGGGCTCTGGCCACACTGATGGCCCATGTAGGCAATTACTATGAGTCCACGTGTCAGTTTTGTATTTTCAGTTTGCTCTTTAAAAACACCTTCAAATGCCATACAAAAATAGTTCCTAGGAACATTAACATTGCAGAGTTAAGAACGCTGAAGTCTAAAAATGTGCTCATTTGTTTTGTTTTTTAATCTTAATGCACATGCATGAGCAGATAGCAACCATGTCAAAAAGTCCAAGTCAGGAATGGAACCCTCCAGCACAATGCCTTAAACACAAGGAAACATCTTTTCTCTTCTTGCAGCCCTCTGGCTAGTTTACTGTTTGTCCTGTGGACAGAATGAGGCAAGAGTAGAGCAAATAGCATGTGACCATGTAATTAAACTATCATGCTTATGGTCAAAGGGCAGAAATAAGGTTTCTAGCCTTAATTCTGACACGTACTTTGAAACGTTGACCTTGGCCTAATGAGTTTTTTGTGTGTAATATAGATAGAATTTTATTCTGATTCTTTTCTTCATCTGTGAGTTAAAGAATCTCTTGTTTACTGTAGTTTTCAGATATTAGTGGTATTATTCCTGTGCAAGTCTGTACAATACTCTATAATATTTCTAGCTAGCATTATTGTGAATTGCTTCTTAATACTCTTCAGCTTGATGGTACTTTTTTGTGCATAAAATTATGTTTTAATGTTTACCTGTGATCTTATTTAATACATATCAGTTTGGATGCTCCCTTCTCCCTCCCCTCAATCCTGTATTTGCCCGTTCCTAGCTCTTTCATTGAGGGGGGAGAGGTACATTTTACTCTTAAATATGCTTTAGTCATATTCTTTTCTTTAGAAAACTAAGACATTAGCATGATGAAGAAAATCACATAAACTTCTGAGCTTTGTCTTTCTGCCTAATTGATATTGCATGCCTTATAGAAGTACGCTTTACAAGTAAGGAGTAGGGACAGTGTCTTTTACATTTCACTAATTTGATCCTTCATTTATTGAGTTCTCATGTACTTCAGCTAGTTTTATAGAGAAGTCTGGTGGTTTAGTTCTAAAACTGATGAATAGATCTTTTAAAGAAGATCTTGAAAACTAGTGGACAGATTTCAAAAATTCTTGGAGAACCCCCTCCCTACACACCTTTTCATGCAGCGTTACTTTGCAACGGAAAAGAATTCTGCATGTTAACAAGCTCATGTTAGGTATTGGATGCATTTCACAAATTAGTTAAGTGCTTGCCTGC